CTGCAAATAAGGCCATATTTCGATTCCGAATGAATCGGAATGAGCACTGATGATGATCATTCAGAATCGAAATATGGCCTTATATGCAGCATGAATTCGAAAAATAAGTTTATTTTGAATTTTAATAAACTAAACGTTCACCAAAAAACTTTAGTGAGAAAAATCGAAAAAACGAACTACAAACATATTAACGCCAAACATTCGGTAGAATTTATAGAATATTGTATATATATATATATATATATATATATATATATATATATATTTATATATATATATACCAAAGATGCTATGTTGTAGAAAATAAGTCTATGAATTCTCTACATGATTTTAAGTTGTAGATATTATGTAGCTATTAGGGATGTATGGTCTAATTATTTCGTTTAACATTTTTGCAATGAGGTATATGATAGACCGTAGTTTGCCCATTTCAGCTTTTGACCCAATGGTATACCCCTAGAACCCAGCACGCCATTTTTTTTAATTTTTTTTCATTCCACTTCTATTCTATTTTTGACTGCTTTTTCCGATCCACTTTCCTCGCTTAGCATATCACCTAGATAACAAAAAAAAACTCCATTCATTCAAATTTTCTAGGTTTCCTAGGTGCCCAGTGCCACCCTTTCGCTTAGTAGTATCATTCAACTTGTATCGTTTACAAACAAATTTCTTGCTTTTGTTGAGGTCTTCTTTTAAACACCTGCATCATTTTTAGGCCCATTTATCACAGTTTACACTTAGTATTTAATTTCCTCCAACTCCTTTACCACACATAGCACAGGAGAATTTACCACGTTCAAGAATTTCTGCATCCTCTCCTCTTCACATAACCTTAGTCTTATTAACCCTCATCTTTAAACTCTTTATTTCCATGTAAATTTTCCGCACTGAAAACTTTTCTTTCAGTTTTTCCTCACTCTCCGCCATAAGAACTAGGTCATCAGTCTATGAAATCTCCCATGGCAACCCAATTTTTATTTTCCTACTAGTTATTTTCACTACTCTAATAAAATGTAGAGGGCTTAGCGCCGAGCCCTAATGTAAACCCACCTGTCCACCAACCATCTACCCCGTTTTTGTTAGTGCTAATCTAACCAATTCCTTTGAAACCTAATCACAAACTTCTTCCAGATCTACAAAAGCATAATAAGGAGTTTACTTCTTGACTCTGAGCTTTTCTTGCATTTGTCTAACAATAGTACTCTTCCATGGACAAAAACCAAAGTACATTATGTCATTATTACATTCACAGTATTTTTCAATAATTTGATTGCTCTATAAGATCCACTGTTTAAAGGGTTTCCTGAAATTTTGTATATTAGAAAGATTATACTTTTTTTAAATCTTTTAGGATTTCTTTTAACCTAATTACGATATTGAACAAATCAGTCAACCATATTTTACATTGTTACATTATTATCTAAATATCTTTATAACGTTCTTTATATTTTCATCCATTGATTTAAAGCAGCCATCTTCGCCACAAAGGCTGTTTATACTTTTCACACAACGTACACATGTGTTTACGTAAACGTGCAAGCCCTGCATCATATACGCTGAGTATAGGATAGCCATTAAGGTGTTTGATTCAGCGCGCATTTGAACCTCTGAGCCTTCTCGCGAACAACTTACTTCGTCTACCCATTTATCGACCTTGGAAGAATGGACGGTTGGGTTGGCCGGGGGTCGGCTACCCGGATGAACCTGCAGAAACTGCAGAATTCGAACCCGGGTTGTGAGAGTAGTAGACGGACACGCTAACCACTCTGACACTAGACCTCTATGTCTTACTAAAGTGTTTAAAATGCATCGCTTTGTAATAAAAACAAATCGTGAACGTGAAGCAAATTCAACTTTTTGCGAGAGCCACGGATGAGACAAATTTGGCTTTTTCTGTTCATTATCAAGTTAGTCCTATTCATAAACAAAATTTTTGTTATTTTTTGCATTTTTGTTTAAATATCTACATTGACAATCTTTTGTTGACAATTATTTGTCATCATCAGTGTTGAATACGGTTGTGGTTTTATGTGTCTGTTCATATAGGTTTAAAGTGATTTTGTTACTGCGTGTCGTCATAAAGTGGCTTTGTTCGACTTCTGACTCAAAACCATATTCAACATTAACTGTGACAAATGATTGTCGAAAAAAAGCTTCTTATGTTAGAAGGTACACAAAAATGCAAAAAATGAATAAAAATGTTGTTTTCTGAACTGGACAAATTTGAAAATGAACTGAAATTTGTCGTACGAAAAATTGGAAAACTCAGTTGCAAATTGAACAATGACTGCAATGCAGTGATATTTTTAAACAAATGCATATCAGATAGTCTCAAACCTATATATATATATATATATATATATATATATATAGAATATATATATATATGATATATATGATATTAAACCTATATATATATATATATATATATATATATATACAGAATATATATATATATGATATATATGATATTATTATTATTATTATTATTATTGAAACATTTATGAAGCGCTAATTAAAGGAATCTCAAAAGGATTAAAGGAATTCTAAATATGTTTCTAAAAAACAGTCTTGTTTTGGTTTAGTTTTAAACCATTGTTTTGCATCCACTTATTGACCCCAGACAAACATTTAACCAGTTTGTCCAATTCTGATTTAAAAGAATCTGGCCTGCTCGTAACAATAATTTGCAAGTCGTCCGCAAAAGCATGACCTGAAAAACCAAATGATTCTATTATTTTTAGTACTTCAGATGTATAGATCAGGAACAGAATAGGACCTAGAATCGAACCTTGTGGCACACCAGACAGCATAACATTAACCTCAGACAATTTACCACCGAATGATACCTGTTGTGATCTACCTACCAGATACGACTCAAACCACCTCAGAACAGCACCAGAGATTCCAAAACTGCAACGTAGTCTTGTTAAAAGTACTTTGTGATTTACGCAATCAAATGCGGATGACATATCAAGAAAGACTAGCATTGCCACATTTTGTTCATCAATTGCCCCGTACACTTCTGAGAAAACTTGCAAAAGAGCAGTTTCTGACGAATGGTACTGACGGAATCCAGATTGATATTTCGGCAATAAATTGTTATTGTTCAAGTAACTGAGTGTTTGCCTGGCAACCACACGTTCGATAATTTTGGATAGGAAAGACAGATTAGAAATTGGTCTGTAGTTCCCAACATCATTTTCGTCTAGATTATGTTTCTTCAGCAGCGGAGTTATGATAGCATGCTGCAGCCAGAAGGAAACTGTCCCACATTTAAACTGCTGTTTATCAGGCTTGCCAAAAATGGTGCGAATAGTTTTATAAACTTCTTTAATACGTGGGTAGGTATTACATCTTGTTGACACGACTTTGTAGGTGAATTTTGAACTAACTGTATTACCTCCTCTTCAGAAACCATAGAAAACGTTGAGAACAAACTATTACTGACACCTGATTGGAATTCTGCCAGGCTCGGTTGAGCATCATTGTTGACACTATCTCTCAGCTTGCTTAACTTTTCATTGAAATAGCACATAAATCGATCAGGTGTTAGTTCATCCATATCCGAGCAGGATTTATCGTTACGACCCCTACAGAGAATGCTGTTCACAACCCACCAAAGATTTTTTGGTTTCATCTTATTTTCATCAACAACTTTTGTCTAATACTGACGACGTTTTTTAGAGAAAAGTTCCGATTTATTCTTCAACGCAGTCTTCCATTCATCTTGATGAATCAACTGTGAACTTTTTCTGTATCTTCTTTCCATTTTTCTGCACAAACGCTTGGCCAACCTGCAATCATTATCAAACCACGGAGCCATACGAACGTTATTGGCGGTCACTGCACGAATAGGGACAACTTTATCAGCAATAGATTTTAACTCGTTGTTAAATAAATGCAATTCCTTGTCTACCTCATTGCCTTGACATGATTTGGAGAGTGGAGATTCAAGCACAAGTTTGATGAAGTCATCAACATTCATCTGATTCCACATTTTAGAAACTTTTTTAATTCCAACCAAATATCCTCGAGTCATCGACAGTTCAGACCAAATAAAACTATGATCAGAATAAATTCCACTTGGATGGACTAAACAATCATGAACTGGAAAATCCTCGGTGGTTACTATCAAGTCTAGTGTACCACCACGTAAATGTGTTGGTGCCTTTACACGATCGATGAGTTGAAAATTATCAAAGATTTCATTTAAATTAGCAGCATGAGGATCATTCGTCTTTTCAACGTGCACATTGAAGTCCCCGGTTAAAACAATTCGAGAACTGAGTACTGTAATGTTTTCCAGAATAGAAATCAGTTCTTTAAAAAATAATCCAGACAGCTGTGCAGAACCCGGTCTGTAAATAGCGAGCAAAATAAACTCCTGACTATTAACTGTGAACCTGACCGCCAAAACTTCAAATGTGGTAACTGTAGGTAAGGCTATTTTTTTACATTTCAAACATAGACGAAAAAATATTATCAATCCACCATGGAGAGGGTCGTGATCTCTTACACAATCTACAAAGCGGTAACCGGGAGGAGCAGATAACGCAATGGAGGGATTTTCTGATGAACCATGCCATGATTCAGTAACAACAAAAATATCCAAACCATCACTGATCAAATCATAAATGATGTTGTACTTTGAGCCAATCGATCTTATATTTAGTAAACCCAATTTCATTTTAACCACACAAAAGTTATTATTAGTCCGATCATTTTTGATTCCACCAATATTTCTACCAACAGCACCACCTTTCATTACATTGTTATTACCTACTTTTTTAAAGTCATTAAAACCACCACTTTCATTACAATCATTACCGGCACCATTTGTTATTACGCAATCACTACCATCATCTTTACCACAATCATTTTTTCCAATAACGTTCAGATCGCTTCCAGTACCACAGACCATCGAATAACCACCACCATCAAGACCATGACCATCATTACAACAACCAAAATTAACATTACCATTTAAGTCATTGCCAGTGCCTTTCATCATTAAACATTTATTACCGTCGAGAGATGAATCCAAATAATCGTTACCAATAACCCCAAGCGTCAGACTGAGAACACCAAAATCTTCACCACCAACAACATTACTATTATTATTCAAATTAAAACTAACATCTTTTATGTTAAAACTGCCACCACCATCTTTACCACTAACTCTATCACTTGCACTAATATGACCATAATTTTTAAAATCATTAACATTACAATTTGATATCGAATATTTTCTAATATCATCACCACGGCCATCATCATACCCACAAGCATTACCAACAAAACTACTACTACCAATACTCTTTGTCGTCAGAAAGTCACCATGAACGCCATCATCACCACCAACATCATTAGTATTCGTCAGTTGAATAACTTGGTCTGCCTCTGAGTTACCGGAAATTTCACCACCCTCCATTTGCCAACCTGACCTCTTACACGGTATAAAAAACCCTTGTCAGAAGCTTCCAATGCCCTAGCCTCCTTTATCTTTGACCTTAGTTCCTTTCTCTGCTCTGGAGAGAGATCGTGACTGAGTCCGATGCGACCCAGGCTGGCGTCAAGCGATTTTAATTTAGAGACGTTTTTAACTATCATGTTTTTTATGTCAACACTATCCATTTTCAAAAGCAGCGGTCGAGTATGATCGTCTGATTTTTTCCGAGTCTAGTTAGATGAACTAGGTTAGCATCAACAACATTATTAGACAGGTGTTTCAGAATTTTCATGACGTCCACCCGATCACTGCCACTCTCAGGCAAATGAAACATAATTAGATTATTTTCTCTTTCTTTGATTTGTTTAGCATCATTTATTGTCGCTTGGACTGTTTTTACTTCAGCCTTTATATCATCAGTGTGTCTTTTAATCCCGTGACTGACGATATCTGCAAATGATACTTTCATATCATTCTTCAAGGTGTTCAATTCACCACGAAAAACATCAGAGCTCTCAAGTTTATTTAACTTTTCTTTGTTACTTTCTATTACTGCGTTGATATTCTCGAGCTCTGACTTTATATTTGCATTCAAATCGTTCAATGTGCTGAGTTTGTTGAAAACATCTTTTCTGAGAGAATCTACAGAGCTGGTCAACTTTTTAATGTTAGGTCCTAGACTTGAGCATCTATCACAGAACCATCTGAGGTTGGTGCTGGAATCCAAGAGGTTGCAAACCTCTTCAGGAATTGAAACGCAGTTCGCATGCGCAAAGAACTCACACTGAGAACATTTAACAGCCTTCCCCTGACCTTTCGCCTCTGAACATTGCAAACATTTATTTTTATTCATTTTCACCAAAAAACAGTTTAACTTTCAATTTATAATATTGAACGTTAGAATATAAGTTAATGTTCGTACACAACACTCCTTATGCGTTGACGACAAAAAATTATATTCAACTAGTTTAAAAAGTGTGTCCTTTAAAGCTCGATATAAATATCACAAAAATTACAAAAACGCAGAGAAAATCAAATACGGCTAAACCCAACGTAGCGAAAAAAAATATGTATATATACATGTATATATATATATACATATATATATATTGTCATATACATATACATACATACATTGTCTATATATAATAAATGAGTGTCGTCTCTCTGTTTTTGCTGCATTATATTTTTTCCGTTTAAAAAGTTTAATTTAGAGCTGTTTTTGCTCTTTTTTTTCGGAAGTTGAAAATTTGTTTTAATTTATTTTCAGGATAGTATTTAATATAGTTTTAGTTTCAAATATTTCTTTATTTTCGTTATTTATTGGTCTGTTTAAAAATTTGTTGAAAATTTATGTTGTCACGTGATATTCTTGGATATTCAATCTGTGTATACATACGCTAAAGAGTTGTTTCAAGTTGGGATGATTGTTGTTTTCTGTTTCAAGCTCACCTGGACGACGAACAAACACAACAATCAAATTATTATGGCTTCAAATTGTACGAAAACAAAATGTTTGAAATCAGGTAAAGAAAATTTGCGATACATTCAATGTTTTTTGTGTGAAAATAGTTTTCACATAAAATGTGTTGGTTTGAGTAATGAAGCTTTCGAAGTGACACGTGGTTTCGATAGTTTTAAATGGTTTTGTGATATTTGCCTGAAGAAGTTATGCAACTCTCTCTAAAATAGTCAGTGACAACAATGATGAAATCAACTCAAAAGTCGAAAAAATTAATGAAATGAACGGTTTGCTAAAAAATGAACTTAAATTGATAAAAGAGATGTTGAACAATAACAGTGCAAAATTAGATTGTCTTAATAAACCTGATAGCAAGTTATCTGCCAAGATCAGCACACTCAAAAGGGATTTGAAATCTTCTTTTGCTACTGTTGTCGGCCAAGAAGTAAAGAAAAACATCGAATTTGAAAATTGGAATCAAAAATTTTACATTCTGCAACAACCGGCAGCAGTCACTTAAATTATATTTCTAAATTATATCCAGAGGTGTCAAAAAACAGATTACATTTCAACATGCTTTGCGATATTTGTAAGCAGCGAAATTTATCTTTTGCCTCAGTCACAGACATTGTCAACGTTTTAAAAGATACTAACGGACACAATTTGAATAAAATGCTAGAAGAACTTTCATGACTTATTAGAATATTTCTTACAATTCCTGTGACAACATGCAGCTCAGAAAGATCGTTTTCGGTTTTTCGGCGCTTAAAAATTTATTTGCGTTCAACAATCAATCAGCTAAGATTAAACCATTTGGCCATACTACATTGCTATAAAAAAGCGCCACAATCTATCAATTGAGGACTTATACAAAGAATTTACTTCTCGGAATGATTTGCGCAGAAAATCGTTTGCAACATGACTGTATCTAAACTAGATTTTTTAATGTTCGGGATATTTAAAAATAGAATTTTACTATTTACATTATATTGTTTAAACTTTTGACTTTTAAATTGATTAAAAATTAAAAAGAAGTTTAAATTACAGTTTGACTAAAAATAATAAAAATAAAAATTTGGTATCTTTTGAGCCCCCCAATAATTTGAACAACTCGCCAGTTATATATAATATATATAGTTATTAATAAATGCATTTGTATAGCGCCTATTAAAAGAAATCTCACAGGCACTCTCAAAATCCAGTAACAATAAATTAAAGAAATAAGATAAAGATACTTGTATAAGATAAAAATAGCGGGTAAATGAAAAAAATTAAGTCAAATTAACAAATCATAAATTTAAAGTTTGCAAATAAAACATGACACTAGTTCCATATCATCGTTTCACATCAGAACATGTCCTGGCATTGACATCGGCATTTCTGGTGCTGCCACTTTTGCTGTTGTTATTGAAAACCCAATTCCTAACCTGAACATAATCAGGCCAAGAACTTGATCTTTCAACTATTTCCGCATACTTCTCATCTACACACAACCGGAATAACGAAGAAGAGTGGGTTTCATCAAGTTTTATTTTGTCATCTCTCCTCTTGAATACAGGGTAGCAAGACAAAACTTTAACATAAATTGATTCAAGGTGGTCAACAACATTAAATGCACAAGTCTTTGAAATATTACCAATGTGATAAAATGTTTTCCGATATACAACTTTACTAGCTGATATTTTATATTGCGTAGGCCTATGAGGTTCAACAGTGGTCTTTGATATTGCATGACAACATGGACTTGTATTAGTTGATAGTAAAATGTTTCTTCTTTTCTTGCGTCTGACTGTTATGAAATTTTCACCATCATTGTTACCTTCTTCAGCAATGTCAGACAAGTTATCAGCGCATACATCACTGCACAGTGCACACAATACTGTTCACCTTTTTTTGGACATCACTCAGTGTATTGCCATGCTCTTCAAAAAATTCCAGAACGTCCGGACTATTTTGATTAACACTTTTTTGCAACCTCACCTGTTCAGCTGACAATTTCTCGAATCTAATGTCACAATTTGTAACTTTTCACAAGTCGTCAGCAAGAAAAAAGGGAAATTTGTCTTCGACTTTAGTTTCAAAAATTAACCGACATATACTAAAAAATTCGTCCCACATTATATTCTTGTCAACGTCTTCGGAAAACTCCGGCAGGCTGAGCGATAATGTGCTGGCTTCATGCTGCAAAAACTTTGCACTTTTTTTACGTATCAACTTCAAAAAATTTGCAAAGAGAAGTTTTCATTTCCTTTTCATTTATCTGGTTTTGAAAGTACCAAATATAACACAATAACGTATCAATTACGTATTTTTTATCGCTTTTAACCTCGACAATTATTCCTTCCGCCATTTTCCAAAGACAATCTATGTATGTATATGACAATATATATATATATATATATATATATATATATATATATATATATATATATATATATATATATATATATACACACACAATTATTTATAAAGATCACTGCGTTTTCGGCATTACTCAACTTGTAGTTGAGTTTCTCATTTTTCTAACGAGACTTTTATCATCTTGATGAAGTTTATTAAAGGTTAAACAAAAAACTTTTAATAATTGAAATTTTTGACAAAACATTATTAATAACGTTATTACTACAGAAAAGCTCTTTTCGGCATCAACTGCCATCATCAGTGTAGTTATATGGTATTGTTCGGTCTTTGTATCATTGTTTTCTCAACGACTTTGATTGTAACTTAATTAGAATAAAAGTTAATCATGTGTTTCATTGTTGGAAGAATTTTGGTATTAATAATGTCGAAAACGCAGTGATCTTTATAAATAATTGTATTTATGATAGTATAAACCCATTATATATATATATATATATATATATATATATATATATATTTATATTTATTTGTATATATATATTTATATATATATATATATTTATTAATGACTTTGTTAAGGGTGGCCTCTCCACAAGTTTATTTTAAACTTATTCGGTCCTCTATAATGAAAATAAAAATAAATAAATAAATATATATTTATATATATATTACAGTATTCTATAAATTCTACCGAATGTTTGGCGTTAATATGTTTGTAGTTCGTTTTTTCAATTTTTCTCACTAAAGTTTTTTGATGAACGTTTAATTTATTAAAATTCAAAATAAACTTATTTTCCAAGTCATGCTGC